CATGGTAGATGGTTCTACCATCTGAAATCTTATGCGGCATTATTCAAACATGTTGACATCTGTTCCATCTATAATTGGTAGAAGTGTTGCATAGTAGAATCAGCCCTTGACTCATTTTCTATTACATTAGAAACAGCTCTTGCATGAAATTATGCTTCCCTTATATGGAAAAATGTAAAAAAAAAATTAAACTGGATAGAGGTTCTAACAATACCAAATATTCTGAATAAAATTATTCTTTCCTTATTGACGAGATGACTCATGAGGAATACGTAGTTGTCACCAAGCCTAATGATATGACTCTGATCCTCAGGTACAAGGAAAGAACAAATTCCCATAGCCTTCATCTGTCCTCCACACATGGCCATGGCACACACCATACACCCACATATACTCACACATACACATGTACACACAACACACATACACCATGCATACACACATCACAAAGCACACACACACACACAAATTTTTTTCATTTAGAAAAATTGTTCTTTCCTATATACAATAGGAAAAAATTTTATACTCCAAAAATATATCAGATCTTATTATTTCTATAATTTCCTCATCTACTAAACCAAAGAAATTCCAACTTTACACAGTTAGATGTTATTCTGCTGGAATTTGACCCAGAAAATAACACACTACATAGTAAGTTATTTCTAAAAACAAAGATTTGTACAATGTGAAACCAAAAGTGTTTTTCTAATGTATGATACAAAAAATATATTTAAATCAATAATGTTTAAAATACAGGCATTATAATATCATGGTATTTTATATTTCAGAAATAATGTACTAAAAAGATGGGGCATACTGAAGTATGTGAAGGTGAAAATATTCAGTAATCCACATCTTTTAAAAACTCAGGCACATCAAGTCCCTGACAGGGTAGCTGGGGCCTGAGGAACAGAATGCTGGCCCTATATCTAGTGAGTATTTGCCTTAGCTGTAGGAAAATCCAAACCATCATAAAACAAAATGCTCTTTTTTTAAAAGGCACCTGACTTAATAAAAATAGGATATGGTACCATTTCAATTGCTTCTTTTGGTTTGCTAGTATTTGAAATGGTCTTCAGAACAGTCTCGTTGTTTAAAAAAAATATTAAGCATGAAGCATTTACCTTCTTGCCTTCAGATTTGTTGCTGAGCCCTGGCCAGGGAAGTTTCAGTCCACACCCTGTCAGGGATGGAAATATATCAGCATGGCCCCTCCCATGCTGGCACTTTTCCAGGTACCATGTTGAAATCTAAAGTAGAATTATCATTGATTGATGGAAGGGAAATGAAAATGTGGCAGGTTATTTCTTAGAGCAGGTTCCCTTGCCTTATGCTTTCAATTAAATTCAATATTTGACTTAATATGCTTGTATTCTCTTTCCCAATTGTGTCTTTTCATAAGTCCCTAAAAGTAACATTTGCTCAGCACCCTTCATCCCAACATCCACATTAAAAGACAGCAGGGTTCTGATTCATGTTGCATGCTCCTTGTCCTAGTCAAACATCTGACCTTCAATTAGTATGAGCTTCCACAACTCATTACATGAGACTTGCAAGGTATGCTTTAAGCTATGTCCAAAGTAGTAGTATTTTTCTTGCAGTGGTACAAAGGTAGGAGTGAGGACTGTTATTTAATTATGACCTAGAATAGCTGAATACCAACAGATGATAAAGGTTATAAGGGAATTTGGTAGAGAAGGTATGGATGAGAGAGGCAGAGAAAGAACCTTCTAGAATAGAACGCATTATTAGGAGGAATGGAAATACACTTGGCATACATCAATATCACTAAAAGAACTGACTGTCTACTGTGGCTTCCTCAGCTCTGACCTGCTTGCCTATTTACAATATGTTTACTCAAAGAATTTCAGGGGCTCAGATACCTCTGCTTTTCTTTAGAAAATAAAATTCTGTAGAAGCTTTCATTAATAGATATTCAACAACTTTGAGGGAAGGGGTTTTTAAACTGAACTAAAGAACGTTCTGATATTATTACTTCTATCTTGTACCCATGACTGGAAGTCATCTAGATAAGGCTATAACAAGTAAGAGAGCTGTGGAGAGTCACTAGGAACCAACAGGGTTTAGCAACACATGAGGGTCCCTCTCTTACTTGGTTTTCTTTGGGGGGGGTGGAAGCCACTTATACCTTCTTTTGCTAACTTCATGTCAGATAACAATATTGTCTGCGCTATCATGCCACAAATATGAGCCATGGAGATACAGGAGAAGTCAAATGAACTGCTTTAGGGTGATACTGCTTTTTGGAGAATATAAGCTACCTATGCATCTAGTACACAAACAAAGCAAATTGAAGTCATCTTTACAGCATAAGCTGTCAATCAATTGGAATTAGTGGCTAAATAGTGGAAGGCTTTCTCCAGTCTCAACAGCAACAAGAGAAAACAAGTTTTCTATTAATATGCTCCACTCCATGATCACTTGAAATGTGATCTTCTACAATTCCAAACCCCCTAGTTGTTGGTAATGATTTGTAGGACATGTGATTTAATAAATGCCTCATGCTAATTAATCACTGGTTCTTTGTGTGGATGTTTGCCATTGCAGTTGTTTACAAAGGTCACTCTTTAAAAACCTTAGAACAGGGTAGCTTCTTGCCTATTCTCATGGATTTGTGACTTTCCCTTTTCTTATTGTTGGCTGATGATATTGCCAGGAGATTTCAGTCACCTCAGCAGATTCAGTCCCATTTGATAATCTTTAATCTAGGATTGCATCTGTTTAACCTCAGGGAAAATACAACAACAATAAAAAAAAATCTGACTACAGATGACTGCAAATAAGCATAAGGATTTGGGGTGGGGTGGCAGCTCCAACAGTGATGACAAAATCCACAAGACACAGCTACATCCTGAAGTCACGTGACATATTACCACCAAAGAGGGAAGGACCATGTCATGAGGTGCCTGTGACCGGTATCCTGAGGATGTCACTAATGTTGGTGAACTCTAGAACTCTAGAAGAATTAATGATACCTCTATATATGATAGCTTGAATCATAACCTTGCTTTTAGAATTTTGTGGATGCGTTTAGAGAAAACACATACTGTCAAGTGATAAGGAATTTTGGAGGTCAACTAGTCTGGGCATCGTATGCAAGGCAAGGTAAAAAAAAAATACAAAGAAAAAATCTGTCACCACACCATAAAAAAATGGTTCCGGTTTCATCTAGCATGGCTTCCTCCCAGGTATATTAACTCACCATGAGTTATAAGCCAATTAATTAACCTCTTAATGACTAATTGGACTTTTCTGCCTGGAATTAAAACTTCAAGGACACCAAAATGATTCACCAACCAAAGTGTTTGCCAGCAGCTGACACAAAACACAATGAGTAAAAGCCTCCTGCAAAAATCTCCTGTTGGTGACAGTAGTGCATTCAAAATGTTAAATTTCACATCTAATTTTATACCTCAGTACTAAGAAAATAAAATATGTTTTTAGAAAAAATATCAAATTTAATTTAAAATTGCCCTTAAAATAACAATTGAAGGTGATGCACACCTTTAATCTCAGCACTCTGGAGACAGGGGCAGGTGGATCTCTGTAAGTTTGAAGACAGCAAAGGCTACATAGGGCGACCCTGTCTCAAAAACAAAATAAAAGAAAAAAAACAACACCAAAACAGACAAACAAAGTACCTATTCCTTTCCTATAAAACCTTCAGTTCTCTCAGAGCATAAGCTGTATCATCTAAGACTGGAAATAGTGTTTACTCTCTGTCCAGGTCTGAATGAGAGGTAGGTGTCAGAGACAGCCAAAGTAGCAGAGAGAAGGCAGAAAATAAAGGCTCATAGGAGCAGAGCACATGGGGTTCGGGACCCAAATCTGCCTGAATTTGACTGCCTGGGACCTTGAACAAGGTACCTTGTGACTGTTAATCTTCTCACCTGTAAACAAATAGAAACCAGTCTTTAGGAATATATTTATGCTGCTCCAGAACTGTAAATCAAGGCTTCATTCTTTAATCAGTATTGACAAGTTATAGGCCTGGCAAAAACAGCCCATCGCCCAAATTTTAAATAAGGTTTTGTCAGAAAGCAACACATTGTACTATCCACATAGCAATTCCTAACACTGTCTTTGCTCCAGCCTTGCAGACTTAGCTTATTATGAAAGGACACATGTCCTGCAAAGCCAAGATTTAGCACTATAAAGTTTGCTGATTCTTGATTTAAACGATTATAACTTTGGAGTCTGTGAAGTATTTATATTCTGAAACATGAAGGTTGTCCTTACACTGACTGAATGTATAGCACACTAATAAGAAATAATTTCTTCCAGTAAAATGTGTTTTGGGCTAGAGATAGAGCAGCTAAGAGCACTTGTTCATGCAGACATGTCAGGCTGCTTATACCTGCCTGTCACGGCAGCATCATGGAATCTAGCATCTCAGACCTCCAGGACCCTGAACTCAAATCCACAAACCCACACACATGCACATAACTTAAAAATAATATATTTTGTTTTTATCTCAGTCCCGGGTAAAGCTCCAATCCCTTTAAATCTTCTATAAAACAATAGTTGTCATGTTGATTTATTAAACTACTAGTTATCAAATGTCAATTGTGTGGCAGACACTGGGGACATGGAGAATGAGATTGTCATTGTCCCTGTACTCATGACATCTGGGCACAGCAAGCCTCTACAGTACAGACTAGATCACCTGCAGTTAGATATGAAAACATTAGTTGAAGATCTTATGTGTAGTAAGCCTTTTGACAGCCATTGTTTCATTCAGGTTTCCAATAACTTGAAGAAGACTTCACCATCTCAACACAACTTGAGAAACGATTAGAACTCACAGTAGTTCAGCCATCCTTCTGGAAAGTAGCAGACTGGATGGCAGTCGAGCATCTACCTGTTTTCCCTGAATCTCCCAGAGTAAAGGTTAACAGTATACATGGCTTCCACACCAAGACAGCTAACACCAAGAGGCATCACTACTTATAGCAGCTTGTCTGCCTCTCAATACATACCTGCAAGCCAGTGAGGACCGTCTCTAGCTGAAGTCCGTGCTCTGCTGAAGTCAATTCAATACCTCAAGGTAGGGACAGCCAAACTCTACAGCCTGCAAGGACTGGTACGGAGTGGTGTTGAGCAAGCAGTTCTGTGACTTTTAAATAATGATCGTGAATCAGATTCTTTTCAAGCTGGCACACTGCCTGCTCATTTCCAGAAAGCCATAGATTAGGGGCTAGAGCCTTTAATGATTTGGCTGCTAAAAGGACCAGAGCTTGGAATCTCTGTTCTTTGTTCTCCCTAAGCACTTTACATGGCCCTTTGAGCACAGTGCTACATCACAAGCATATAATCTACATATGAACTACACCAAATCCAAGTAGAGTATTGTCCACAGCCTGTGCTAACCCGGTACCAAATGATCTGGGTCCAGATGGGTCTATGTGGTCCTAAGCCAAGTGGAAAGCTATAGCTACATCCTTTGTTGTCAACATCTCTTCTCTTCTGTTACCTATTCAATCATGACCACAAATCTCTCCTCCTTCCTTTCTTGCCCCAGCTTCCCTCTCTTCAACTCTTTATCCCTCCTCTCCTCCATTTCTCATCCCTCTGACACAATTTTTCCATCTTTCCCTGATCACAACAGATGAATTAATTCTCCTGCACAATTTAGCAGATACTACCTGTCAATATAAAACATTGATTCTTTTTCAAGCACAGTTCATCTTTTGTTAGGTATAATAGCATCCTTGGAGGGGCTTCAAGATATTTGAGATCATTTGGTATGATTTGTAGCATGGAAATAAAGTTCCACCATTAGATTTCAACACAAAGGCTCTTCATCCAAACTGAGACCAGCGTAGTCCAGGTCATCATTATGTACACTCTAAGACATGATAACCCCAATAGGTGCCTGTAACCGAAGAACACAAGATCCCAAAGAACTTCGACTACTGTGTCAGTTGCAAAATAAAACCAAGCTGCCATTAAACAGGTTTAACCCATAGAATAATAATATAACCAATAAGAGAGCTGTAAAAGCCATAAAACTTTGAATAAGGAGGCATTAAATACAATAGCAGATGGTGGAATATCAATGAAATTTACATAATGATGTCATTTGAAAAAAATTAATAATAAAGAAAATAAAGATAATTTACAAGTCCAGAAAATCCATCATTTTCTAGTCACTATATGTTCTTTATACATAGTTGAGTTCAGATTACACTTATAGTTTATGCCCGTTTTTTATTTAATACTTCAATCCAAACATTTCCCCATATCTTGAAGTTCTATTTAGAAGAACCACTTACAAATTACTCATCCATTTTATGATTTGACATCAAGTTGGCTTCCCAATTTACATGAATGGTGTCATCTAAATCTTTTATTAACCTTCTGATCTGAAACTCGCATGCTTTCCTTGTTCTGCATAGATGTGTGAATGGTGAATTACCAAGCACAGCTCAGGAGCATTTGTAAACCAGAATGCTTCCATCCGTGAAGTGTACTGTTCCCCTGACATTTGTTTGTGCAGCCTTATCTTGACCATTCTCTCCTAAGGGAAATCCCCAACAGAGGAAGGAAAATGACCCTTATGTCTCCTGTAACATAAATTATTGCTCTTCACAAGCAGACAAGAAGCTACTTAGACAGCCTTTAGTTCTTTCAAGCCAGGGTGTACGAATCCTTCCAACTAGTCTGTCACAGTGGGGTGGGGACAGGGTGTAACCACCTAATTTCCTGAGTATTCTTAAGGGAACAAAGACAACTCGGAGACTCCCTGTGACTCTCACAGGATTGCAGTTACCCATGTCCTTCTGCTGAGCTACTCTGGGGCATAAGCCCTGGCTTCTGGAAGTGGGCTGTATTAAACACCTCGGAAGAAGATTCGTCAAATACGCAATACCTGATTCTAGCAGTTCACTAACCAGGAGCTAGAAGTTAGTCCATACAGCATGTCGTCTCTCTCATGCCTGCCTGGCTATCCCGCACAACCTGAGGGCTTCTGGGAGAGTGCTCACCCCCACAGTCCTAGTTTCCTTGAGTGCTTAAAAATGTAATTCATTGTAGAAAAATTCTACTCCAGACATTAGTGCAAGTACCCAAGCACAAGCAGAATGGCAGGATTCTGATGGTGAAGAGTAGAAGGTGGAAGATTCTGGCAAATTCTGGAAGGACAGACAGTAGTTCCTAACATATCTCTCCCACTACCCTCTGCTCTCCCATGTCCAAGAACCTTCCTTTCATTCTTTCTGGAGATAAGTATGACCAAGGCACAGTGACACATTGCACATCCCAGGGCTTATACAGCCCTGTTGAGGGCTGACATTTGAGTGTTCTATGCTTTACCTAACTTTTTTTTGTTTTTTGATGTTAAAAAATACCTTTATTTTTTAACAGAGATTATTTACTTTTCTTAGTTACTCAAAAGGGGAAAGATTAAAAATTACAAGTATATAGCCTACAGATACAACTGCATAAGACAAGCTTTTCATTTTTCCAAGTTGGGCATGGCTTTATTTTTAGGATCATTTTCAGGCTTCCTGGGAAGTACACAAGAATACAGCAAGAACTCTTGCTTTTTATTTTATAGCCCCTCATCTGCCCTGCCTGAGCCTTTGGAGGAACATGTCTGTGGCTGAGAGTCACTGGAGCCTGGAGAAGACTCAGGATCATAAGAAGAAGCGGCACCTGGACAGAAGAAATGTCCCAAGAGATTGAGGAGCTTGTGTCCCCTGTTCTCTCAGAGAACCAGGAAGACAGACAGTTTAAATAGTGGCAGCACGATTCAGTCCTACGAAACTGAGTCAGTTAACTTGGACTTTTGAGGAAAGCCTAACTCAAGGCAGTCGTTGGTGAAGCCAGGGCTCTGTGGTTATGCATAGAAATCCAGACAATGCTCACAAGTGAACTCATTCAGTCCATTCATTATTTCTAAACTAGAAAGGAGCATCAGGACCTCTGGAGAAAACCCTGAGGCATTAACAAACATGTGACATCCTATGTCACTGACCCTGTGACTCTATACAAGGGCTCTCTAGCTTCTTCAAACCATAGGAAATACACAAAGTACCACCCAAAACACATTGCCTCCAAATTTTGGCCCTACCAAGGAAGGGACAAATAGCAGAATTGAACAGCCACAAATGAAATTGGTGACAAGCCAGTCAAGAAAAGCCGCATTCATCGATGTTGTTCCCCATGCTGTAATGAAACCCATGGTCAGTTGCCCTGCCAGATCAAGATGCATTTCATTTATTCAAAAATTCAAAAAAAAAGTCATCACAAAATTAACTTACAGACCACTGAAATGGCTCTGCTGATAAAGGAACTTGCATCCAAGCCTTCTGACATGAGTCAAGCCATTGCTGCATCCAACTTCACAAGTTGTCTTCTGACATTGTGCGCGCGCACACACACACACACACACACACACACACACTCACACACACATTTTCTAGCTTGCTCTTCACAAAATCTCAGTGTTAGTGAGACACCACTTCCTTCATAAGGCAAATGACGACCTTACCATGTTTTCCAGTGTGTTCTGTGAGTGTATAACAGCCTAACTGCAGATGGTGGTTTCTCTCCTGGTTGCCAGTCCCCAAAATAACACTCCGAGGCTTGAAATCAATTATAATTGTTTGGCCAGTGGCTCATGCATATTACTGACTAGCTCTCACAATTAAAACAACCCATTTTTGTTATTGCGCGAGGCTAGTGGCTTTTTACCTCACATCTTACTTCTGGAGCATCTGCATGGCGTCTCCCTGATCCCACATTCTTTCTCTCTCACTGCCTTTGTGTGGACTTCCTGCCTGGCTCGATTCTGCTGGCCATGAGCAAAATCAACATTATTTACTAACCAATAAAAGCAGCACCTGTTTGCAGCATACAGGACACCCCACATCACCTAACTCATCCACCTTATCATGTTTCCACAGGTGGCCTGGGGGGACATTAGCCCACTGGGATTCTGGCAGGCCTTGCCCTTCTCATTCCCTCTGCCTTTGCTAAAATCTGCTAGATTACATTCCTAAAGCTAGGTCTAGTCTCTTCTGTGGCCACTGCCTCCTCCTGAGGCTGAGGAGCAAAGTTCAGCAAACAGAAGCCCCCTTTAGTTCACCTAATTAGCATGCCCAATTAAAATTAAACACCTCATCCTAACACGGGGGCTTCCCCTTTTCCCTTTATAAACCATCATTTGCCTATGTGTCACTCTCTATCCAGAGGCAGTCCTTTGTCCCCCTGGGACAAACATCCATGTCCTGGTTCCCTTGTCCCTTCTCCTTCTCCTGCATCTCCTAGCTCCTTTGGCACCACATCCTGACCCATCTAACACAGACGTCCTGTCCTCTGAGTTCTTAAGGCTGACGCCTGCAATGTCTTTGCTGCTGTTTTCTGCCTGAGTCAGAAAGCAGACACTTTACCTCTTCTTCCCCTTTAATAAAGGGAAAGAGGTGTTTGGGTGTGGTTTGCGCCTAATCTGGGTTCTGGAAGGGAGCCCCTGATGTGCCCACCTCTCCCACCCAACCATGTTTCAGCATGCGTTCTGAGTATGAAACAGTCTGACTCCTCCAACCTTTCAAATTCCATTCTGACTTAAGACATCCTGGAACTTTCCTTATGTGTTTCTTGTCATTTTCTGGATTCTAGAAACTGCCTCTTCTATTGTGTACAGGGACCAGATGATCAGCAAACTCTTGTAGAATTCCCACTTTCGAAACTTTGAGTTTCTTTTCCTTAGATTTCCTATGATTGCTATGGAGTCAGAATTTTAATTTTTAATTTTAGTCTTCTTTACTCATAATTCATTATAAATGTCTCAGAGGGGGAAAAAAGGTAGTTTTATTATTTGATAATTTCATACATTTACATAATGAATTTTAGTTCCGCTCACCCCATCTTCCTCCCTCATTCCCTTTTCTCATCCTCCTCCCACTCGGAGTCCCTGCCTGCTTTCCTGGCTTCTTGCTGCATGGCTCACTGAGTTTAGTTTATCAGAGGGGCTAACATATTAATGATGCGTCTCATGTACTGTAACAGTCCTGGTGCTGTCCATCACTGACCTCAAGCTCTGGCCCCACATTCCTAGGGCCCCATCATGCCAATTAGACGTTTACTTATGTTTCCATATTAGACAAG